ATGTGCCATGAAGAATTAATTCAGATGTTAATGTATTTTTAATTTTTTTTATGGAAACTAGAGAAGGTTTACTTAGAAGTTAAGATAAAATTAAAAGTAAACTATTACTTTAATTTTGAAAAAGAAAAAAGAAAAATCTATTAAGGGTCCTTTTCACATAGCTTCGGCTTTTATGGCTCGCAGAGGAGCTAGAGTGGTTTTTGTACTGATGAATTTAGCAGGGGTTTTGGAGTGGCTCTGGCTTGAGGCCAAACCCTCCCAAAAGTTCACCCAAGAGATGGCTCTAGTTGTTACTTTAACAGGGTTTGTTCTATAGGCTCGTACCTCTGCATTGCATTCGTAGGCTGAAGCGAACATTTTTTTATCTCCAGCTATGAACCTTTTTATTGTTCTTTTTTACCTCCAACTTATCGTATGCTGTATTTCTTTCCACCAAACTTGCTTCTTTTGTATCACCTGTATACCTCAATTTTTGTACAACTGATTTGTCATGAATACTGCTAGTACTGATAAATACAATATGGTGCTCCGCTACAGATAGGGATGAAAACAGATCGGATACGGACGAATATCACTGATATTACATTTGTTTTCACATTTGTCTAGATTCGCATACGAATACGGATAGTGTCAACCATGCCGGATAGGATACGATTGGATATCGACATCATAAATATGCTATTTGAGTATTCAGATACAAATACGGTATCGGATGTTGAATATCTGGACTCGCATATGGACAGATCTGAACCCCTCTAAACAGATTCGGTCTTGAATACGGTCGAAAAATATCCGTACCGTTGTTATCCCTAGCTACGGATGCTTACCATGGCGAAACAAATATGTATTTTTTGTAAAATTTTATAAGTTTTGGTTGCTTATTGACAAACAATAATTTTTGTAATAGCCAAGTTTGGATAGAAAACATGTTTGTGACAATTGAATTGAAAACAAAATCATAGCATTGCCACAACTTAATTATATACCCATCCAAATAACCAACCCTCAGCCTGTTCGCTTCCTCGTAAACGATCGTAAATTTTCAGCCGGGAACAGTGTTTTTCTCTCACACCAAACCAGCCAGCAGTAAATAATCCACGATACGATACGGCCTCCCGAACAGGCTTCCTGATGAAATAATACTCTGCTAACTCTGATTTGGACAATGAACAAAGAATCAGCAACAAAAATACTTCGACATCCTACCACGAAAACCAACTAGCACCGGTGGATTAACATGTTCCGAAGCACAAAATCATCATCAGGTACAGGATCCATGTAAACTATGCTACAATCCAAATTCTCATGAATTCATTTACATCAAAATGAGCATGGCAACCATGCAAACCAATGTGTTCCAAAAAACAGGCTGGAAACACAGACACCTGCAAATTGTGGCTCACGTCCCTCAATAGATAATCAGAGTCTCATTTACCAGCTGACAATATCAATCAATGAAGTGGATGACCCAAGAACATCAGCACCAGTAGAGAATGAAATCCACTATAACATACTTGTCACATTGCAAAATTATATAACAAAAACATATCATACAGCAAGGCAACCTCCAGTAGTTAAGTACCGTCAGTTGCAACAATTGTTTGTCATAGACTAAGCTAAAGCCTTTGGACAAAGTCAAGTTGCTGATGAAAGCAAGAACAAGGTTGCCAGGTCAAGATATCAGGAATTCAAGACGGTGTAGAAGAAAACTAGATCCGCGCAATTCAGTGCCTAGGACCCACCATGTGAGCCCATACGAGGAGAGTGAGAGAACTGCAGGTTCAAATAGCGTGAGTGAGGGTCCTGTTCATCAAACCTATAGCCTGCAAAATGAAGTAATTTGTTCAAAGATGCAGTCAATCAAGCAATGACCCCATGCTACAAAACTAGCATATTTGAAAATATAAGATGTGACAAGTTTACACAAAAATAAACTATGAAAGGGTACAAAAAGTCGGTGGATTATGCTATCGTAGAGATCTAAACTGGTTAACGAATTAGACATATTGGCATTGAAGTGGACAAAACGAACAGGTGTTGGCAAATCAAGTATGAGAAGCTGTTGCCAACCACTTCGTGACAGAGAAGGGTCATATTTTCTTAGATTATTAGAATCTAACTTACTGATCCAGCTGGCACATAATCATTTCTATACTTACCTTTTTTCCTTTTGTGCTCCAAGCGTACATTAGAATTATCACATATAACAACTGCTGTCTTATATCTTATAAGCAAATGAGATAGGCTAACAAAAGTCAAGACTCTAGAAGTTTGAACCATTGCTTGGCGCCATTCATAATCACTACAGAGTTGGAAAATACCATCCAGCACCACATGTTTTAGTTTAAACAGTTTCATAATGTACTAAGATAGTTTTCTCCAAGTTAAGGACAAAATGGCCCAGTAACATCACAAATGCAGCTAAAAATAGAAAACTGTATAAGAAAATAGTGTTACATTCACCTTGAAGACTTCTCATGGCGAGAAAAGCTTGTGCAGGGGTTGCAAAATCAACGAAGCACAAATGTCTATTAGATGCTTTGTTGACCAGTCTCATTTCAAGGAACCCCATATATTGGCGAAATATATCTAAGTAAAAAGTTAATGGGCCCAAAGACCTCAATGTTGAATGATGGAACACAAAAAAGGACACGGATTGATAACACCTGAATGTAAATTATAGTTGACCAGTGGAAAAAGAATGGCAAACAACTCAGACTCACAATAAGATCAGAAAGAGAAATCATCATCCACACAAGGATACGCGCAACTTCCCGTCTAGTACAGTTGGTAGGGAGACCTTCAACATAAATGGTGCTTGTTGTGTCTGGAGGAAGGGAGGGCTCAGGTGCACCGAAACAAGGAAACTGTAATCATTCACCAAGGAGAAGTAAAAAAACAGCACTTTAACATTTAGTAAGAGTTGTCACTCTGAATTAAGAAACAAAATAATCATTATGTACCCCATTGTGTAAGTTAGGCCCATAAGATTGTCCCATTGCAGCATTCATTATTGCTGTTTCCTGCTGATGGCCAGTCATATGCTGTTCATAAGTGTTGTCTGCAAAATGTAAAGGACACTAAATTAGTTTCGCGTACACACCACAAGGCATAGATTTATAGAAGTAATTCAGGGGTACACGAAGTATGATTTCCTCAACCTCAAGTTGTGTTTTACTTCCATTTAAGAAGCAAGCCCAAATAAAAGAAATCTAAGAACAGAAACAAACAAATGAAGCTATCACCTAATTGTCACTGATACACAATACAGCGATACAGGTACGGTATGGCAATATGCAATTCTAAAAAAAACTGATACACTACTACGGGAAATATATATATTTATATATAACTAAAGTTTAAAATTTATGAAAATAATTGAACTTTCTGGGTACCAAGAAAGCAGTTAATTAGAGCAACATCATCTAAAACAATGAAATGCTCATGCTGAATGCATCTCTGTCCTAAGATGAAAGGGAAAAAGGAAAGAAAAGATAGAACAAGGAAAATATGAGCTGGGCTTCTATTTTCTGGGCAGTTGGCCCACTCAGCCCATATAAGGACCTCAAACTTAACCATAAAATCTCCTCTCATCTTGCACATAAGGCAGCCAGCCACTGCCGCTGCTCTGCTTTCTTCCCGTTGCAGTTCACTTTTTCGACAACGCAGCTTTGGCACCACAGGCCAACATTTCACAGCAATGACTAGCAAAATAGGTTGCCCATGCTCTTCTCATCTCTTCAAGTATGCTCAGACTTTGTGCTCCTCCCAGACCAGCCGCCTCCAGGCTCTCTTCATTTCTCCATCTCTTCGTGACTAGACATGGACGGGAAGAGAAGTATCGGACTGAGGTATCATCTAGTATCGGAAGCCATATCGGCAATTAAATTCTTTATTTTTACATCGCAATGTTCCGATACCTCTCAATATGCGTATCTGTACCGTGCCGTATTGGATACAGGTATGGTGGCGTACATGATGTATCGGTGAACGTTGATACATAGCTATCACACCATCTGTCGAGAAAAGAACATCTGAACTTGGAACAGAACCATGAATCAATCTTCCAAACTTAACGCTGAAGTGTAGGGTTTTAAAAAGTCCCAAGAAGGGCGGGTTTGGTGCAAGCGGTAGAGTCTTACCGCCTGTGACCGGAAGGTCCCGGGTTCAAGTCGCGGTCTCCTCGCATTGCACAGGCGAGGGTAAGGCTTGCCATTGACACCCTTCCCCAGACCCCGCACAGAGCGGGAGCTCTCTGCACTGGGTACGCCAAGAATTGGCAATCCCATCCGCACTAAGAGGAAAAAAGAGAACCTTAATTGCATGTTTAATAGCTGCAGAAGTAAGGCCGCCCAACAAAGTGGGTGAGTGCAAAGCCTAAGCTGAATCTAACACATCCACGTAAACATTTTTAGCTTTACTCGGTAGTGACAGATCCTGAAATCACTACTGAGCAGGCTGTTAATATTTGCATGAAGTGCAAACGACAGGAGTGCAAACCCTAAGCCAAACAGACTATATCCATGTGAACTCTATTGACTAGTTCTAAACTCAGGATTTATAATCACGATGATCATCGGAAAAGCATTAAAAAGTTATTTACAACAAAACTAGAACCTACAATCTGAAATTTGGAATAAAATGCAGATGTGCTACAGTGACATGTATCTCCTAGTTGTTTTTGAAAAAAATCTGAAAGATAGGCTCCCTAATCTCAATGCTTAAGAAGTACAACACAGAGTAGCACGAAAATTTCATACTGGGAACTACTATTCCCAGGATTACTTCAAAGATTTAGCATGAAACATAGGCTTGAAGTTAACTACATATGTTTATGATATGACTTATGTTCTATTCTTCTAGATTTATACAAAAAATGTAAAAATCTAGTCTACGCCAACTTGAATACATCTATGGTAGAACATTTATTAGTCATACTCGTGATACTGTTACCAGTTACCACTTAAATAAAACAGTAATCAGGCATAAGTAGAAGTTGATCACAAACCATATTGGTCAAGACGCTGGCGCTTGCATGGTAGAGCAGCGAATTGCGGCTGTGCCATCATCACCTGGTTGCCCTGTGGATTGTGCTGCAGCATCACTGATGGAGGGCTGAATGGCAGAGGTGGCTGTGCCATCATCGTCGTGGCCCCTTGTGGAGGCTGTTGCTGAAGCATCACTGGTGGAGGGCCGAGAGGCAGAGGCGGTTGTGCCATTATCACTGTATCAGCTTGTGAAGGCTGCTGTTGCTGCTGCTGCATCATCAATGGCAGAGGGCCGAGTGGCAGAGGTGGTGGTGCCGTCATGTGTCCAGCTTGAGCTTGCTGCATCTCCATCATGGACGGATGGCACATGGGCAAAGATTGCGATGGCGCCATACCTTGAGCGGGTTGGTGAGCAACCATGGGCTGGGCTTGGGCTTGCTGTTGCTGGGGCATCGAGGCCATCATCAAGCCCATGGGCGCAGCTTGAAGGAGCATCTGTATAAGTTGCTGGGAGGTCGGCACCATCGCAGGCGCGAAATGCTGCTGTTGCGGAGCCATCATGGTTGCGCCCTGCGGCGGCGCCATAACCGGAGCACCTTGCTGTGGCGCGGGCCCAGGCTGCTGAGGCGCCACCCAAAACCCGGGAGGGCCTTGCGGGGACGCGGGAGCCGCCACGTTTTCGGCCCCCTGAGGCACCACCGCGAACCCGGGAACGCCCTGCGGGGACGACGGCGCAACCATGGTCGCGCCCTGCTTCGGCGCCGCCACCGCAAAAAAACCGAGAGCGCCTCCGTGTGACTGCGGCGCGGTCACCGCGGCTTGATGCTGGGTTGCGGGAACATCCGTCGTAGCGGCGGCGAGCCGCTGGGAGTTCGGGTCGGCCATCTCTCCTCAGGACCGGCGAGCGTCGCCTCTGATGGTGGATCTGCGCGCCGGAGACGGCTAGGGTTTAGCTGAACGGCGAATGCGGGTGGAAGGCGTCGGCCAGCGCAGGGGCGCATTATTTTATTGGAATGCCGTTGCCAGTTTTGGCTGGCGCCCGCGGAGAGATCGCCGTGGAAGGAAAGGCAGCGGCGGTGTGAACGGGAGGGGGGAGTAGTGGCCAGCTGGCCGGCGTGATGCCGCGCGTGAGCGAGGGAGCGGGGAAACTGGCAGGTGAGTGGTGGAGGTTTTGCGTGCTGGGCTTTACTAGATGGGTCCTCCCTCCATGGCCTATGCTGAGCGCATGAGGCCCATCGATGGCGACTGGCAAACGATCAGCTGCTTCCTGGGCTGATGCTAGAATGTCGGTCCAGTTCAGCCCAGAATGAAAGTGATCTTCAAAATTCTGCCTGTAACTTTTGGAAATCACGAGAGACGAGCAATGTCATCCGAGAGTTCCCAAGAATTTCTTTTTTAAATCACGGAGTTTTCCGATGCGCCAAAAAGTATTGGAAGAAAAAAAAAACTATCTCCAACAATTTTCAATAATTCACTCCTAAAATATGTAAGACAACTTTTACAACAGGAATCATGTATTATTTCTAAATTATCCTAACCATTTTTATATATTCTTTCTCTCTTGTACATTTGCATCAGAACCTTTTTTCTACTTTTTATTTTTTCTCAAGGCCTTCCACCTTTAGATTGGTCGATGAATACGCTATCCTTACCACCATGTTCGTTTGTTGGTTTCAGCCAGGCTTATTCAACCAGTCAACAGTATTTTCCTCTCACAACGAACCAGCACCGGCCAGTTCAAACCAGCCCAGAAACCAACCAACGAACACACCACACGACCGGTCTATTTTTTCGAGCGTGGAAAGATTAGGAGGTGGGATTTCGCTATTGGAGATGTGTTTTTTTCCATTATTGTCAAAAATTCTAGATCGTGAAGCTTTATTGGGAACTCTTGACATGCTACAGTGTTGACTGAGGTGTGTCTTGGTGGCAACAGTTGGATTCTGACCAACGTCTCAACTTACTCCAATCGTACTAAATTGCCGCTACAAAATGTCTACTAGTCAGGTCAGAAAGATGGCATCGACCCGTTATATATGCTATCGTCATTGGCCGCGACACACCTTCCCTTTGAAAATGTTACTATCACCTACACCTATCGGTGACGATCACCATCTACGAAGCTTTAGAACAACGAGCCTAGTTTAGATTGTAAATTTTTTTATTTTCTTTTTATCACATTAAATCTTTGGACATATGTATGGAATATTAAATGTAGATAAAAAAATAACTAATTACACAGTTTAATTGTAAATTACGAGACGAATCTTTTAAGCCTAGTTAGACCATGATTAAACAATAATTATCAAATACAAATAAAAGTACTACCGTGTCAAATACTGATTCAAACATCAATCTAAACAAAGCCGAAGCACGGAGCAAATGAAGCCTAGCCTACAAAAGCGAGTGGCGCCACCATCAACATCAGGTGACCGGCACGACGGGAGCTCGTGGCACGGCAGCCTGGTTAGGTGCGCGTCCGCAGTTGGTGGCCAAAACTGTACTGTACGGTCGTACCCCCTAGGCTCTACCGCTCTAGCCAGTAGCCACCCCGCGCGCGTCCTACCTGCACGGCTGCACCTTTGCACCAGGGCCCGGCCGGCCCCTGTGTCACCGTCGTCACCGCTCTACACGTGCTCTCGGATGCTCCTCGTCCCCGGTCCCTGTGTACCCAATGCAGTTGCGCTCGTGCAGTTGCGCTACAGTAAAAAACGCAGCGCGACGCGGGGCACGGTAGAAAAGGAACAGAGTCCACGGCGACACACGATCCGAGGTGTCGTCCCCGGCACCCCGCTGTCCCGCTGCGTGCCGATCCCGATTCACGATTCCCCCGGTCCTCCTTTCACCAACTTCGCCGAATCACCGCGCATGTGACCCTGGCCTGGTACTTGACGGGGAAATGCCCCGCGCCCCAAGCCCCCAACCCGTTTTTTCTCGCTTGTTTCCGCCTTGAGCCGGAGGCGGCACAAGCCCAGCGACCGAGGGAGGGGGATCGGCGGTGGTGGCCCGGTGGGTGCTGTGGTGCCTGCCTTTGCCTTGTACGTGACCGCGACATTCTTTTCTTTTTCCTGGCCGTCTCCCCAAACACCACGCCGACGCCCCCCCTGCCCCTACAGCTCCACTACCCCTCGGCGGCTCGACCCCTTCGCCTCGGCTTTCTATATAGCCCGGAAGTCCGCTCGCCCGCAACCACTCTCCATGACTCCCATCCCCTTGCTGGCTGCAATGGACGGGGTAATTGTAGTGGAGCTGTAGAGGCGGCGGGGGTGTGAGTACGACCGCGCCGACACCCTGGGAGGCGGCGGCGGCGGCGGGTTGGGATGGGGCTGCTGTCGAACCGAGTGGAGCGGTCGGAGATCAGGCCCGGCGACCACATCTACACCTGGCGGGCCGTCTACGCCTACTCCCACCACGGTACGCTCCTCAACCCCCTCCGATGGTGACAAGGATTCCTGCCCTCACGAGTTCTAGTAGCGAATTGCCGCCGCCGATGGCGCGGATCACGAATTCTAGTAGTGTGCAAGTTACCTGTTCACCGGAACTCTGGCCCGCGCCGGCTCAGTTGGGCTTTCTTTTCGCAGCCGCTGGACGCTGGTATTGGTTGTGTTTTTGCTCTGTCCGGCGAGAGGATTAATCGTGGTGATTCGTGTGTGCGTGAAATGTGAAAGCCTCTGTGCGTCGCCTCAATTGGCTAATCTGTGAGGTTTTCCTTCTGTTCTGTTGTCCTTGTATATTTGCAGAATTTCCCTGCAAAAACCATGCCAATTCTTATGGCCTCCCCTATTTACTCTTGAGATTTTTGTTCACATCAGATGAGGCTTCAACTGAAGATACCGTACTCTGTACATAAACCCTTCCAGATGGCTAGGATGTCACATGCTTGTGTCCTACTGTTCTGCTTTCCATGTAGAACAAATGGCACTTGTTGCTGCTCACCTACCGCTAACCAACGTGTCTGTCTGTTTCTGTGCTTTGTTGTTTTTCTAGTGTGGAGCAGCCTTATTGTTAACTCGAGGTTGCTTGCAGGAAAGAAACACTACAGGCTATACCCATGCTTTACTGTGCCTGATAAGTGAGTAGTTTAGGCCTAGTTGCTGTAAACTCTGATCACCAAAGTATCCTATGTTAGCTAAGTTGTTGAACTATTCAGTCATCACTTTTACTAGTTGAGGTAACTAACTTTATGTATTTATTATTTACCACAGTTCTTTTACTTTGCATCTCGAGGTCTTTGATCTTCGTTTAGGGAGCTTAGGCCATGTTTAGTTCCACCGAAATCTAAAATTTGGCACTATGCAAAAAGAAGATTCTCCGTCACATCAAACTTGCAGTACATGCATAGAGTACTAAATGTTGACGAAATCAAAAACTAATTGCACAGTTTGGTTGTACTTTGCGAGACGAACGTTTTGAGCCTAATTAGTCAACAATTGGACAATTATTACCAAATATAAACGAAATACTACCGTGCGCTACAGTATCTACGTATTCCGCCGGCGCCGATTCCGCGCGCAACTAAACGCGGCCTTAGATAGACGACCCTTCTACAGTGTCACAATTGTGCTATAGGGACAGTGTGTCTCCACAATCAGTGCCTACTGTTGGCAGATGCCCTGTTCTGCTCCATAAAGTTAAAGTGGCTCTTTATGGTACTAATTTAGTAAGGCCAATATCTTGGGATGACAAGATCTGGGTTCTGCACTACCTGCATGAAAAGCTGCTCAATTTGTTGGAAAAAAAAACCATTTGGCTTCTTCTCCTGCATCATACATCCTCTCTGGCTCTGGATTAATTTGTCAAGTAATAGCATTTTTACATGTTCCAGCAAATTATCCATTATTAAGAGAATATCAGCATGTTGTTCACAACAGGGCAATATGTAAAGCATTCATATATCGTTAACTACCGTTTTGAAATTCATTTCCATAATTCCATTGCTTCTCAAGCAATTTTCTTATGTATGTTCAGGTATTTATGTTGGAGGGAGCAAAGTGGTCCATTTTACACGAAAGAAAGAAACTGAAAGTTCAGATTCATCAGACTCCACCTCCAGCCTGATCTCAGAGGTTCCATCAGAGTGCCCAACATTCCCTGATTGTGGATTTCAGCTGCCCAACAGTGATGTTGTCCTCACTTGCTTGGACTGTTTCCTCCGCAATGGTTCTCTCTATTGCTTCGAGTATGGAGTGCCATCTGCGGTTTTCCTTGCAAAGCTTCGTGGGGGGACCTGCACCATTGCCGAATCAGACCCACCAGAGGTTGTTGTCCATCGAGCGATGTACTTGCTTCAGAATGGTTTTGGAAATTACGACATGTTTGAGAAGAACTGCGAAGACTTTGCACTCTACTGCAAGACTGGGCTTCTACCAGTTGAGGAACCTGGCATTGGGACTAGTGGGCAAGCTTCTTCTGCCATTGGTGTGCCGTTGGCAGCTCTTCTGTCCACTCCGTTTAAGCTTCTGGCTGCTGGTCCGCTTGGAATGGCCACTGTCACAGCTGGGATGTACTGTGCTGGCAGATACATTACTGACATAGGAGTAAGGAAGGACGTAGCAAAAGTTGAAGTGGAGAAATTGTCGTTGCACCCTGGTTTCCACCTTATTGAAGACGAAGAATCAGTTAACAAGCCATCAGAAAAACCGAAGACCTTGCTCCCTATGAAGAGGAAACGAGAAAGGTGACTGCGAAACGCAGCTGAGGATGAACTTCTCTGCCCTTCAATTGGTGTCGAATTGTGGATAATTTGGGATATAGTATATGCTCCACTGTAATAAGACTGGATGGTATAGATATGTGCCTTCAGAATGTGCCTTAATTGGATTAGGTGCACACCTCACATGGTCAATTGTAACTGCCTTATAAATTGAATCGTCAAATCACTATATCATGTAGATTTTCTTCTATGTTTGTTTCAGTCTACTGCTACAATTAACAACAGTTATATTCTTTACTGATCTGGGAGGTCACCGTATCTGTAGTTACTCGGTACGGCAAACTGCCGACAATGTTTTCATCAGGTATAATTAACGTTAGCCTTGCCTCATGAATCATGATTGCTGAATGACTACTTGTTCAGATTCTACTAGTATATGCAAGTCACGTCCGAAAGTTCAGCAGGGCGAAGATGCTTGTTGTTTCCTTTGGAAATTACTGTACCTCCATGGCTGCATCCGTAGGCTTTCTTACTACATGCATGGCTTTCTCTTTATGCCTTTAATCATTGATCTGGTAGGCCTCGACAACACCTACCCCTGTTTTTCCGTTGTTTTTTCACTGATCTGGATCAAAAGGCTGTACAAGCTATGTACTGAGATCTGGGCGTGGGTTTGAGCTAAAGAAAAGCCGGTGCCTGCCTGGACGGCTAGACAAATATGATCAGAAAAATACCATCTGCAACTGCGGTGTGCTTCCTTGTCAATATGATCTGTTTGACCTGCACTTTTCATTTGTACTGGTGTGTAAGTACGTATGCTTCTCGGCACGTGAGTGTTTTTTTTAACGAACTAGCACTGACATACAAGAAAATACAAGTACAGTCTTGAGAGACCTAAAAAGAGAGAGAGAGGGGGGTAATCAACAACAATACCAATTACCAACAACAACAAAAACTGTCTGCGGCCGGCTGACAAAGCACGTGAGTGTTGCCATGCATTTTATTTTACCTTAGAAGGTATGCACTTCTTTTACCGTTCCTTCCTCCATGTATATTTCAGTGGTGTAATTCAGGTCGTTGAAAGTCACTATACGTTAGAAAACAAAATATAAGTGAAGCGGGTTAGAAGTACAATTTCTCCTACACTACTGAGCCAAGCCTCGGCTGCTTTGCTGTTCTGTTTTACCTCAAAATTTTCAGCTCGAAAATTGTATGGACGAGCAAACGGTAATAGAAGTGAATGATATCTTCACTTATTCAGTTTTTCTCCAAGCCCAAATGAAAAAGTGTAGCCTACTGGACTATATGAGTTCAGATCGCTATGCCCGCCACTAGCACATCAACAACCGGCCTTCCCGTCTGTGCTGCTCGAATCGGCCCAAATGCTTTGGTCAATCCCAGCAAAGTGGCATATGCCTGAACGCCCAGGAGTATCTAGCTTCTCATTCTTTTTACAGAAGCTTTTGGGGTGCTTTGACACTTTAACCTTTAGGTCCACTGAAGAATTTCTCTTGTTGCATTCTTCTTACCTATTCGCAAACTGAGGTATTATATTTTTGAGAACTTCAATTATTGTAAGAGACTGGCATCATGCGCCATTTTGCAGCTCGTGTTCTACCTTATGCACCGGAAGCCAGCAAAAGAGCTAGTTCAGCCGTGCAAGAAAGGAAGAGGATAAGGACAAGAATGAAGAATGAGAATGACATGCAGGCAATTAGAGCCTATTTGATGGTGGTTTGAAAGCCTGTTTAGGTTTGAACGCGTGAGACTACGATTTGTTGCCTATCCCTCTGTCCTGCAATATAGTGCATTCTAAAAATGTTAGTGCATATTAAGAGAGAACACAAGAGACCATGTGCCATCATTTTATTTCCTAACCAAAAGCTATAATAAGCATTATTAATAGTGATTGGTTGATAAATAAAAAGTATTTTTAATGCAAAATTGTTTTTTTTCTAGAATTTCTTATATTTCAGTATAAGTTTTAACGGCCAGAATTCGCTATATTGTAGGATTGAGGGAGTAGCTTCAATCTAAACACGCCTCAAGCTTCACCTTTTTTCTGAATTGTCCACTATGGAAACTATAATTCCATTTTCTTAGGGAAATGCGACAATCAAAATGTATCAGCTGCAAGTCAAGTCTACCTTGTTCTAAAATAAACATTCTAGCGCTACAGCGCCGATCATTTTTTTTTCAAAGTTCAAAGTTGATTAGCGCTAATAACAAAAGGTATGTTGCATTTTTGCAGCTTTGTTCATGAAACATCCGGCCAGAGAGGTATATCTAGTATGCAAAACAAAGAAAAAAGAATTAAGTGCACGAGCGGCTTATGAGCTTTTTAAGGTACCGACTAGATCCACAATTTTTAAAATGCATTTTCAGCATACTAGATTCGTTAAATGATGCAATCTAGGTCTGTAATGGTTTGAAAGGGCAATGTGCCCATACACGCAACGTCAGATAAAAGACCCTCTCGGAATAGTAAACTGTATATCATTTGATAAGTTTACTTTTGCAGCTTTGTTCAGGAAACATCTGGCCAGAGAGGTATATCTAGTATGCAAAACAAAGAAAAAAGAATTAAGTGCATGAGCGGCTTATGAGCTTTTTAAGGTACCGACTAGATCCACAATTTTTAAAATGCATTTTCAGCATACTAGATTCATTAAATGATGCAATCTAGGTATGTAATGGTTTGAAAGGGCAATGTGCCCATACACGCCACGTCAGATAAAAGACCCTCTCGGAATAGTAAAATGTATATCATTTGATAAGTTTACTTTTGCAGCTTTGTTCAGGAAACATCCGGCCAGAGAGGTATATCTAGTATGCAAAACAAAGAAAAAAGAATTAAGTGCACGAGCGGCTTATGAGCTTTTTAAGGTACCGACTAGATCCACAATTTTTAAAATGCATTTTCAGCATACTAGATTCGTTAAATGATGCAATCTAGGTCTGTAATGGTTTGAAAGGGCAATGTGCCCGTACATGCCACATCATAAGATAAAAAAAAGTATATCATTTGACAAGTTTAATGTGTCAGAAATACATTTTCAAAGTGTGTTGATTTGTGGCACCATTTAACAAGTTAGGGACCGTTCATGTATTTAACTTAGATAAAATGTACATCGACAAGAAAACCATGTTGCACTCTTATCTCCATAAACAAGCATGATTGACTTGATCCTAGTCGCTTGAGCTTATCAGTCAAAATCAGCATTACTTTTCAGCCATGGAATATTATTTTTTTCTCACAATAAATCAGCAGCAGCCGAAAATCAGCCAGCCGAACAAAGCTGAACACAACAATTAACTTTTTATATAAAAGACAACATGTTTAGATAACTACAATAATTCAAGTGAGCTGTACGAATTTGAAATCAACCTACTGTAACCGGTTGAATGGGAGTACTTGTCATGCACTCAACCATGTCTCAAACTTGTGTGCCTATTTTATTTTTATTGAAAAAGCTGGCTAGTTTCCTCTTTTTTTAAAAGATACACACAACTTCTGTGCCGTGTGTGTTTGTGACATGTTAATGCACTTTTTATGGTAGATTATCTAAGCGATGGTTCAGAATAATGTGTGCGTGTCAGTCCAAGAACAATATGCATTATCATGTGCTGCCCGAGTTTGTTTTTCTTATTTTTCATACTCATTGTGAACAACATCACAATTTGAATTCATTTTTGTACACAAGAAAAAAAATTATATATATGAAGACATGTGTTGATGCAAAGTACTTTTGGAGATCTAAAAGAATAACATGGTTTTGTTTAATATTTTAGTTTTAGAGTGATATGAAGTGTTTTGGATGCAACAAATTTTATTGTTTTGAATACCATTGTATCGGTAAAATAGTCTTATGGAGTTTTAAAAACTCCACTCCGAATTCCTTCTTTCTTTTTTTTGCGAACGGGATTAATGGATTCTAAACCTGTAATTTTTAATACTTCCATTTCACTACCATTTCTTAATACTACAGCATCAATAAGGCTATAGCCTTTTTTTCGCAAATTGTTTCTGACTCCACCCCTACGCCGCCGGATTCTTGCTTATCCCCCGCATCATTTGGGATGAGACGAGACCAGACGACGATGCCGATAGGCACGCGAGTTGAGGTGAGGTGACAGGGGCAACGAGGAGCCTGACGAACCGGCCGGGGAAGGGTTCGCCGCCGAACTGATCCGACCCTTCGGTCACCGGGCGTGGGCGAATGTCACGGACGCCAAGGCGTGGCGGCCGCCGTCGGGTTCGCTTCGTTTCGAACGAAAACACACAGACCTTGTTGAAAGGGGAAAAAACGCGACCCACAGGGTACAGCACAGCGCACCGCAACGCCAGCCAGGCCCGAGCATAGGCGCATAGCATAGGGCATAACGCGCAGCGGCCACTAGGCACTAGTCCACCCGTTTGTCCGTCATCATCTGATCCGCCGCTACACCTCCGCGTTCGTGAGCCTGTCACGTTGCGCTGGCCTCTTTCGCCACGGCACGGCACGCGCACCAACGGCACCGGACCGGTTATATATCCCCCACGCCCCGCGCTGGGGGCCGCCGGCCCCCAGCTAGCGAGCGCCGCCGGTGCCAGCCAGTGCAACAGAACCCGCACCACACGGGCGCGCGCGGCGCAGAGACGACAGATCGGTCGGCGTCGGCCATGGCGATCGGCGGGGGAGCAGGAGGAGCGTGCTGGTGACGGGCGGCGCCGGGTTCATCGGCACGCACACGGTGCTGCGCCTCCTGGAGCAGGGCTACGGCGTCACCGTCGTCGATAACTTCCACAACTCCGTCCCCGAGGCGCTCGACCGCGTCCGCCTCATCGCCGGCCCCGCGCTCTCCGCCCGCCTCGACTTCATCCGCGTACGTGTACCGAAACCGCGCCGCCGGGGCAGTTGTTGTTTCGCATGAGCCTATGTATGTTTGCCCCGCGCGCGCCTCGCTGATTGAGAATTGCTCTCTCGATCGCTCACCGTGCTGCATGCCCGTCGGCCGTCGCGTGGATTTCAGGGGGACCTGAGGTCCACCGAGGACTTGGAGAAGGTGTTCGCTGCCAGGAGGTACGGTGCTAGATCGATCCATGCATGAAACTTCATGACTCTCTCCTCTGATGAAGCCCTTTCAGCGCTTCGATTTCTACCTGTACAACAACGTAAGTCCCACACCGCACATGCGCTGCTGTCCTCCATTTCCAGGTACGACGCCGTCGTCCACTTCGCCGGGCTGAAGGCCGTGGGGGAGAGCGTCGCGCACCCGGAGATGTACTACGAGAACAACCTCGTCGGCACCATCAACCTCTACAAGGCCATGAAGGAGCACGGCTGCAAGAAGGTACTACTGCTGGATCGCCTCCTGCCTGGCCGCCACGATCTAACTGGCACCGACTGACCCCGCGAGCGCGCGTGTGCAGTTGGTGTTCTCGTCGTCCGCCACCGTGTACGGCTGGCCGGAGGTGATCCCATGCGTCGAGGACTCCAAGCTGCAGGCCGCCAACCCCTACGGCAGGACCAAGGTAGTAAAATCTCCGTGACGGAACTGCCAATAATCGCGTCGCGTGTTGTGCTTCACGGTCGCTGACGAGGACGTGTAACGGCCCTGGCGCTTTTCTCGTGTCCTCACGTCATTTCGGTTGCTTCCGCTTCCGCAGCTTATCCTGGAGGATATGGCGCGTGACTACCACCGCGCGGACCCGGAGTGGAGCATCGTCCTGCTGCGCTACTTCAACCCCATCGGCGCGCACAGCTCCGGCGAGATCGGCGAGGATCCCAAGGGGATACCCAACAACCTGCTGCCCTACATCCAGCAGGTCGCCGTCGGCAGGCTACCCGAGCTCAACGTCTACGGCCACGATTACCCCACCCGGGACGGCACCGCGGTGCGTGCGCTGCGCCCTCGCTGTGTTTAATTTGCCTACAAAATCGCCACAGATACTGACATTGACAGTTTGTCGCGGCAGCATTTGGTTGGGCATTGAAATGTTCGCTCGTATCTGGCCGTATCAATTTCTTTTGATCGATCGATTGATTGATTGGTGTTGCAGATCAGGGATTACATACACGTCGTCGATCTGGCTGACGGGCATATCGCAGCGCTCAACAAGCTCTTCGACGCTCCTGATATCGATACGACGCCGGCGAACCATTTTGGGCACCACATCCACATGTTCACAAATCACATCCAGTTGTACTTGACCATGCTACCTCGACCGTGTCCCTGGACAGGTTGTGTGGCCTACAATCTGGGCACGGGGCGCGGCACATCCGTTCTGGAGATGGTGGCGGCGTTCAAGAAGGCCTCCGGCAAGGTTTTATCCTCGCATGGATCGTGTCCCTATGATCTGATCCGGAGAAAGGGACCTGAAACTGACGTCTCTGGCTGCAAAACTGCAGGAGATTCCCACCAAGTTGTGCCCCAGGAGACCGGGTGACGCGACGGAGATTTACGCGTCCACTGAGAAGGCTGAAAGGGAGCTTGGATGGAGGTAATGACTATGAACACTAACACCTCTTATCTGCATCATATAAAGCTTATCACTTGATCAATGCTACAAACTGATATGTGGTATTTCTGCGGCAGAGCCCAGTATGGAATCGAGGAGATGTGCAGGGACCAGTGGAACTGGGCCAAGAAGAACCCGTATGGCTACTGCGGCGGTGCCGAAAAATAGAGTAGGTTCATCAGAATGAACTCCGGAATGAATTGTCCATAGTAGTTCTCTGGAACCTATCAGTGGAACATGTAATAAGTACAGAGACCACCTAAATGTGCCTACAAAGTTTCATACGATCTCCCCGCGTAATTGTGATGATGATGATGTTATTGGCTGCTACCGGGTGACTTCAGATGGTTGGTGTGTTAAGCTGCGCTCTGACTCGTATCGTGTCCCCACCCTCTTGGTACTTCCGTTTGCTCATTCACACGTCTGAGAGTTCACTGCTTAGGACAAAAGACAGTACGATAACGAATTAACGAGGATATATGCAAAGCCATGTGTGGTGTCAAGTGCATCTATGGGTTTCTGTTTTGTATAAGCTTCTACACGAAAACCAATTTAAATTGGTTCCGGAAATTTAGAGAATTTTTAAAAATAATATAATAATAAAATGAGAAGCGTTTTTTAGATATTGGTCAGTTTATGATCTTAATAGACCATAGGCGGATCCACCACCAGGGAGAGCTAGGGCGGCCACCCTAGGTCCCTTTGGCTGGGCACCCTATCCCCATCCCATAGAGGCCGGAGCTGGCGAGGCCGCGATGCCACCTGACACAGAGAAGACGGCGGCGGAGCGGAAGCGTGTGCTACGCAGGAGTAGGACGCGAGGCCGCAAGGGGAAGGGACGAGGCAGTATCATGGGCTGATGGGCCTCGAGGGGAAGGGACGCCTAGGTCCAGCAGTCGCCCAACACCCTAGCCAGGCTAGGCTGCCAGTTAGGGGGCTCGGCTACTCGCTACTCGCTCAACTACGCCGTTGCCCCTCTGTGCAACTCCTCGCCCCCGCCCCTGCTCAATTGCGCCTGCGCTGCCGCTGCCCGGCTCCGCCCTCCAGGCTCGCCGCTTACCGCCCCTACACGCTCGCGCCGGTTGCCACGGATCTTGGCCAGCCCGCCCCGCGACGGCAAGTCCCCGACCCAGCGGCCCAGCCGCTGACACTCGACGCTTCAGCTGCCGCCTGCTGACTAGCTCCCAGGCCGCTAGCCATCCCCCAGGCCCAAGCAGCTAGGCCCTAGCCGGCCCTACTGCTTGTGGCCTCGTGGGTTGGGGATTTTGGATTTTGGATTTGGTAATGTCATTTTCTAATTGACTTATCTTTGGAATTGACACGTTTTTATATTGTATTTCTACATTGAAACGTATATTATTGATAATTCCGTTATTAAAAGATAATATTTTATTTTTTATTGGTTGTTCTATACCTTTTGCTCTTGACATGCATGTTGTCGTTCTAGGTCATTTCTCGGGCTGGATTCGCCACTGTAATAGACCATGATTGTTTTTTTTTCCCGACCACGCCGAAGCGCGTTTTTCATTAAGAATAAAGGAGTTTCAAACAACAACTTGGAGACGGTAATCCAAGGTTACCGGGCTCCAACGAACAACGTAACTTTTGATTGTTCTCAGATAAACACGTAACTTTTGAAACTTTGCTTCTCAAAAACAATCTTTTCATGCAAAAAAGCTATAGCAACAGCGCAAATAAACAAAGGCCACGTCATCAAAGATAGACAATCGGACACGATATCTGCTTCCTACTTAATGCCTTTACCCATCAAAGATCGACAATCGTTCGCTACCTATGTCTAGCCTCAGGTGATCATTGTGCAAGTGTTTCAATGGTGATACCTCTTTTACTATTACTTGTACCATTCCTGGTGGAGAAACAACACTTGAATATGAACGAATTTGTTGTGCTATAGCCTATGACACTATCAAAAAACAAAAATATAACTTTGAAAACATCACCAGTAAGGTGGACGAAGTTCGCCATGATGATAGAGTTCGATGCGTCAAGCCACAAGGAAGGGGACGATACCGCAATGCAGAAGGATGATGTGTGTTAGTTTTTTTACAATTGTTTTTTCAGATTGCTAAGAGCATGGACATTTAGACCTTGTGCTACTTCATTAATTATGCAGACGATTACCAATTTTAGAGTTCATAGGTAAAGCCCGAATATTGTACTTTATATTTAAGTTCAAGACATTGTCATGTTCCATACACCTTATTTCCAACCCTTTTTACTCTATACTTTGCGCTGAAATACGTGATTTAGACGTTGTTAGTGCATACTGCCTTTATGCTTGTATTCACTGCAACATGTTCAACATATGCTCTACGTCATATATGTTTTTTAAATATAATTAATTATTACAATAATAAGCTCGTTCCTCGAGATAATTTATTATTAGTTTCTATATACGAATTTGTTTCTTAGATATGTGTGTCCCTTGTGCATTGTTATGTCTCAAAAAATTATTGTAGTTTCTTCCTTATAGATGATTTTATTTGGATAGACACATGCGTGTCACACTTACTTGTCCACTGGTACATGAAGAATGAACAGAACAAAATCCCTCAATACACAATTTCATTCTATTGTTTCATGGCATGACCATGACATTTACATGCCTCATCTAGAGTTGGAAACTATACCAATTGAATTTCATCTATATAAAACTCATCTTACTAAAAAGCATTGTCATGCCATAAAAATGTCTAAGTGAAACTCCGACTAATAAGAATGTAATAAAAATAGTTTAAATCTAAATAGGACCGGTGTGTCATGTACTTTCATGTGAAGACACAATTAATGAATGAACTTTTTTCACTAAGTTTTTATTCCTAAAAATACTAAGAACTCTTCTTGGTTTACCAAGGTATATGGAACGCCAACTACTCCTACATTTAAGTTATAGTTTTTCGTGGATTCTAAATACAACTTCATCGACTGCTCTTGATATTTTTTTCTTTGAAATACCAACCTCCATTTCAAATACCAACTTTGATTTTTATTGTTCACATTTTAACTAGAAATATTTATTTAAATATTTAGTCTAAGTAAACCGAGGATTGCATCACTAGATTGGTTATCAAAAGCATTTTAGTCATGTCATATATTTTTTGCATGTTTGCACGGATATTTACAAATATGAATGGCCAAAAATAAACTAAGTGAAAATCGCTAAGTATTGTGAAATGGAGGTTAGTCGTCCGTTCTAAAATAAATCAACTTTTAGAGTTGTTTAAACGAAACGATCTTAGGTTTGATAAAGTTTAGAGACAATAGCAAGAAATATTTATGACGTCAAATTACACTACAAGAGGTTAGGCCTTCTATGACTAACTGATTGTGACAATTATAGTCTTTTTCTTGTCATTGTACCCCTTCTATGACACAGCAGTGACGATATGGCTGTGGTCATAGAAGGTGGGTCATAATCCCCCTTCTGTGACTAACAGACCCAGTTGTCATTAATCTTAGTGACAATTGCACGTTTGTCACCCGGTTATGACGACGGTATTTGTCACTATATTTGTCATAACATATTTGACGGGACGTTGACAAGTGTCCAGTGATATCACGAGGCGCGCGACGTGGCATAGACAGTATGACGAAAACGAACTGTCATAAAAACGAATTTAGCCCAGTTGGCCCATATAGCATGGACTGCTTTTTACAATTATAATTCGAATAAGTCCAATTGGCCCATATGCAGGCCGATCATTTTTTGGCCCATTTGTTGACAGCCTTTTTATTTTTTTTTACCATACTGGCTCAGTAATAATCCAGCCCAGTTTGCATCTAATTTTACGACGCAAGCCCATATAAAGAATCATCATAAATAATAAACCATATATAATTTAATAACAATAATAATTAGACATCTAAATAGATCATTTCCTCCATAATTTAATGGTTCATACAACAGTTCTAACCATTCAACAGCGATACAAATGAATCACATCATCAAACTACAAGATCATCAACAGCCGACAGTTCTACAGGTCACCAAAGTTCTACAAGTCCACCAAAGTTCACTAACAGATCATCAGATCACAGTACCAAACATACATCCATCCAAATAAAAATAGCAGCCACATAGCTATGTTCGTCTGCTTGTCAAGGCAACAGCTGCTGGCTGTCAACACAGCAGAGGCAGCTACAGCAGCAGCAGGGCAAAAATAAAATAGACAGGTGACTATAAATTGTTTCAGTCACGGCAACAACAACATAGCAAAAGTTGCAATCACCACCAGATCACCAACAACAGCAGCCACCCTCCAGTCACAGTTCCAGTCACAACAAAACCAGCAGCCACGCCAAACTCCAGTCATAGTTCCAGTCACACCAAACTCCAGTCACAGATCACCAAAATAAGTCGAACCTGTAAAAAACTTGGAGCCTCAGCCACCATCCAGATTGCAACTGTACTATACCAGGTCACCAACTTTCAATTTAGAGATTAACAGAAGTGACCGAATATGAAGATGTGTATCTGAGCACAGCCAAGTCAAGGAGGAGCGGTCTGATGAGTGACAAATGCTATCATCTGCCGAACGAGGTTCTGAGTATCTGCTGTTGCATCTGGACTGCATGTTTCTGTCTTTGGATCTATGCTGTGTGTGCTGGATACACAAGAACAACTTTAATCCCCCATTGTTGGATACTGATCTGGAGTTCTGGACTCTGGCACTCATTGATATCTGCAAGCGTCATACAATACAAGAGTATAGGAAAAATGAATATCGATGAATAGGTAACTGGAGGTAAACTTGAAAGAAAAAAGTGAATTCTAGAGAGTTGCTGACCTTGGCACCCATCTGACAGGTACGGGTTGCCTGCAAATCCATTGAGGCAGCTACAATAAGAAGACATACCACTAGCCGACTATCAAAGAACTAATATCAATTACACGATACAAGTAAAGTCTCACCTGCCCACATCGAGTGCAATCCATGATGCTTGCAGTGGTTCCAACGAGTTATGCAGTTCTTACAGGTACTGGAGGTTCTTCAGTCCTCCCAGATCTGGAACCAGAGGGCCTGAGATGCCTGCGTTCCCCAAATCCCTGCAAAAAGCAATACACAGCTACTTGAGCTTCAATCTAGACAGGGTTTGCAGACAAACTTACACCGTCAGACACACTGTTGTCCAGATTCCATAAGTAC